ATTTCAAATTCCTTTCTCAAGGTCAGTAATTTTTCCGATAGAAAGAGATGTTAAGAGAATGGTGATCCCTTTGTTCGTGATTAAATACGAGAGCACTTTGCTATATTCTAAGTGTATTCTTAATTTTTAAAAATATCACATTTGAAATAAACAGAAAAAAATGGATTGTTGTTTTTTTCCGTCACGTTTAGCTGTTCACGTGTAGGTTTGATGCAAGTTACATATTTTTAGAAACACCTAACTATTTAAAACAAATTTTGGTTTTGAAAAATATCTAACATTGATCAAGAATTTTGAACTTAGAAGAAGTTTTACTAAATTACGTGTATCTTCTCATAGATTACAAATAGAATTAGGTAGATATCAGGGTATTCCCCGAATTAACAGAATATGTAATAAATGTTCTTCCAATACTGTCGAAGATGAGGCTCATTTTCTATTTGATTGTAACAAATTTGAGGATGATAGAAATTGTATGTTAGCTAGTATTGCACAATATAATTCTTATTTTAATCATATGAACAGTCAAAGCAAAATTATCTGGTTATTTAGTGTAGAAAATGTTGAGTTACTTAAAATAATATGTAATTTTATATACAAACATCTTCCTTAGTGAAGATTAGTTAAAGGAAATCTATGTGTGTATATACATTTGATTGGACATAGAAAATTATATTCATCTGAATATCACAAACATACTAGCCGATTAAAAAAAAAATAATTGTTAAGATATATTATTTATTCAAATGTTCTCTTATATCCTTGAGGCGTCGTCCCCTGGTATCAACTGCATTCAAGTTACCTATGATGCTTCCTTGTTTGCTTTTGATACAGGTAGGAAAGAGACATTTACACACATTTTACATGCCTATGGCCCATAAGGTATCGCCCCCTGGTGTCAGCTGCCTTTAGGAAACCATAATGCTTTCCTATTTGCTGCTGACACAGGATGAGTCATGGACATGTTTAATTTCTACTTTCTTTTTGGCTAATTATTATATATTTAATTGATCCAACTTTTTGTGTACTATACATATGTGGATATCTATTTTTCTTTTTTTCTTTTTGGGCTGCTTGTTTGTTATCTATATCAACCACACTTGCAATAAAATGCATTAGTATTAAAAAAAACAACATACTATAGATTCTTTATCTACGTATTCTTTAAGAACTTAAATAGTTCTCGTTTAACTTTTTTTTTTATCTCATTGTTTGTATTGTATTATGAAAAAATTATTGATGTTGTAATGTTTATGCCCTTTGGGGCCCATAATTGGAAATAAAATATCTTATCTTATCTTATAGAGGAGACATGTTTAAAATAGACTGTATCGCAACCATTTAAAACTAACACTATGCTTTTGAGTGCATTTCTTTCTAACCTAAATTTTGTAAACGTTGTGTGGCGTTTGTTATCGTTTGCTAAACGCTACAAAAGCAGAAACAAATACATCGTTTAATCAGTGTTTACTGACCCTGTTTTGAACTTCCAATAATGCATGCACATGTTGTTGGTAAACAGACTTATTACGCGGCTATAATTAAATGCGGTTCCTTCAACCAACTTAGTAATAAATCTCAAGACTTTACACCGTACTAACAGTGTTTCGGGATTTTTTGCTTAGACTGTTAAAGCATTGGTCCCTTTTCAAATTTTCACACCTTTATTTTAATCTTATTCCAGAAATAAATCATAATTAAGGTGTAACACGACTGGTTATATTGATTGAACAATCTTCGCTAGCCGGCTAACGACGATGGTCAGTCTTCAACAATGCGCAATGTGCACTATATATCATCTACACATCAACACACCAAAAATCAGTCTGACGCTGAATGTATAAAGGGTCCTAGATAAGACAGTACTGTTGTAAGTATTCTCAGAGACATGCTTTTGTATAATAATATGTCTCTTGTATTTTTAAGGTCGGGGACTCGTAATTGATGAATTATTAACTACACGAAATCATACCTCATCTCCTTATTTTTACATGTATTATTTTAACTTAATTTAATTCATATAAATCCGGGTTTTTTGTTTTTTTGTTTATCGTGTTCATATATTACAATGTGTGTTGTTTATTTTGTCACAAATCTTATATAAGTTGATTTATAAAGATTTTATATATATTAAGTCACATCAACATATAATTTCTTATTTCAAAATTATGATTACTTTTATCAGATACATGAATATGCATATATACATATATAATATCTCTGCTTGTATATTTCCATCATAAAATCAAAAAACAACGGTTAAATTCCTCATTGGATTTGTTATTACAGCATGTACTCTATTTATTGTTAAAACTTTTCAAATTAGGTAAAATGCGTTTTATTATAAAAACTGTAATGGAAAATTACCTTAAAGAAACCAGAAATTCGATACTTTGCTAAATGTCAATACATTATTTCTCTTACCAAAATGTTAGGAATTGAGTACTAATTGAGGGTTTGAAGGGGATGAAATAAAACAAAGAGATATAATCAAAATCAAAGATTATGAAAAATTTCTTCGTAATATATTGAATAAAATAACTCCCTTACAGAACTTGTGCATTCGACAGACACAAAGTAGTTGTATTGATTTAATAAATACTGTTTTGTATCTTTTTGGGATTGGTAACAGAACAAAAAATGAAATGACGTCTGCAATAATATCATAATGATTATACTAAATTGAATAAGGAAGTAACCGTCTTTTCAATGTCACTGTCCCGTTACCAGTGTATTTAATTTCAATTATCTAAAAATTAAATAACACAATGAAGACCAAACAAAAGCAGATATATATATATAGGTATATTTAGGTATGTTTAGAGAATTGTGTCATTTTACGTAGAAAGGTAAAGTCCGGGTTGATAACTTAATTTCAGTGGGTCTACCCGTGATGTAATATAGTCTTGGAACTGGATAAAAAAATCAGTCAAGTTTTTGTGTGCGTAGGACGGATTTTACTGATTTATTTCCATAATACAAGTTAGTTACTTATCAATTTACATTTAATATTGAATTCAGATGAGATAACATAATTTAAACTTTTAAAGTTGAAATGAATTGGTTATGAACGGTCTTTTCCCCTGTTAACTGACTTTCTGATTGGGCATTTTTATATACAATTTTTAACAAGAATCGATTTGCTTCGATAATAAAGTCTCATTTCATCTCTAATTTCATGAGAGTGCTTGTAGCAACCAAACACATCATTATCTCACGGATAATAGAGGTCGGTCAATTTAAAACGTATCATGTAAATCGTATCGATACGTATCTTGGGACATACTAAATATATATGTCGTACTATCCTTGAGTGAAATATCGTTGAATATGCGCTTAGTTACGAGGTTCGTGGCACAATGTGTGTAACACATATAATTGGCCATAATTGTCAAAAGTTAATTACCGAGGTATATCGCGTCTGGAACATAATCGAATCGAGTGCACCTTATTTTGAGCCACACAGAATGTAGTAGAAGTTTGTCATTAAAACTTAAGATTTTCAAATGGTACGTTTCTAAATATAAGGTAATGCAAAATTAAGAAATGAAGTAAACTCAGCTCCTTAATGGTAACGGTAAAAATCATAAAACAGGCATGAAATAACAAAAATGGGGAGACAAGTGTGACAGGCCATCGCAAATAGTAGGCGTTGTAAGTGATTGATTTGGTCCCCAATTATATCAAGTCCATTATGTCAAAACAAAAAGTACTTCAAGTTAATGAATAAAGGTGTGAGAAAGTAAAATAGTATACATTTATTTCCCGTGTCGGAGGGAGATATGAAGATTTGTTCAATGACATGTGGGATAGTCTCAACCAATCACATATTGATTAAACTATCAATATGTTTAAACAGTGGAAAAAAACGATTTGTTGAACTTTGCTTTTGAAACGCAATCATCGGGCTAGGCATGCATAGGATGCCTTTATTTCTTCGTTGCATTTCGTAATTTGTACGGTCTTCGTGCCATTTCCCCATATCTGCCAATCTAGTAAAACTGTATAATTGTTTAAGCTATAGGATTCCATGAAATGAAGAGGATAAAAAGTTTTGATACGCAATATAGACTTGGAACTCGGGATCAAATATTGTGTTTTCTTCAGTATATCTCCAGATACGTTAACGTCAACGTATCTGATACGAGTGGATACGTTTTAAATTGGCCGACCTCTATTGTTGTATAAAGCATGCAGTGTTAACTGGATTGCATAGTCATCCCCCTTTCGTGTTAGTTTAGTGAAATTATTATCAAATCATATCATTTTCCAGTGACTCGGACCAAGTTGACCCACCACTTCTTCAGGCCGAAAATTATATTTTTTAGTTACTTCACTTATTTATCGGCAAAAGTTTTCGATATACGCTTTTTTAACTACTGGGTCCGCCACTTGGCTTGCCGCAAGTTGTCGCTCGCTCGTGAATGGAATGGACACGACATATTTAAAACGCTTCCCCTTTGGACAGTCTTATTTTTTCTGCCTACCTATATAACTGAAAATGAAATTATAAAATGAGAATCTGTCTATTCAACTTCCATTAGTTCCATATATATCTACAATGAATAGTCCATAACTTTTGAGGGATGAGTGTGAAATGTGGTTGAAAAAAATATAAATAAGAATTATATATAATCAGAGACCACATGTGTGTATATGTCTCTGATATAATTGTGCCAATGAAAATGTCCTAAAATCAGTACCCAATGTTTGTATTGTCAATAAAATTTAGACGTATTGTTTCTGAGATGCTAAGTAGCACGCCTCACCCAAATATTTGATAATAGCTACCCCTCCGTTTTGGGTTTACTGAAACTTTGCCCTAGGACCTACTGACACAAATAATGAAAATCGTCAAATATTTCGACCCTTCTTATATATAAATCAGCTTATACAACAGAACCAGGTATCATGGAAAAGAGGATAACACGCAGAATTACAAGTTCAAGGACACAAAATCATTTCGATAATCATTGTGAATTCAGCTAAAGTAAAATTAACCAATGAAATCGTTGTAATCATGAGACAACTACGAGGGTCATTTAATGCTCACCGCGGAAAAATATTTAGTTGAAAGGAAGATTTTAGATAGACAAGCTGTGTAATTGTTTTGATGCGGATATTTTAAATTTCATATTATTTATTTTAAAGGTAAGGATTTTAATTTCTCCTTTATATATAGAATCAATTAGTATTTACTATTTTGACCACATTTAGAGTAGCCATTTAAAAATCAACACTATATTGTTGTAAAATTATAGGAATTTTTGTGAAAAATAATGAAGATATGTACAACCAAGGTGTGCCGATTGTTTTTCTTACAACTTTTATATATTTTTGCTCATTTACTATTTTCCACAGAAATAATTAGATAAAAATAAATGAAATCAGCTGATTTGCGCATGTTAGTCCAAAGAGTAGTCGGTGATGCAATCGTGACCGCAAAACAGCTGATCGGGGTCATTAAGTAGGAAACCCCCATGTAGTGATGCAATCACGATCGAAACCAACAAAGAAATCAGAAATTTGTTATTTTGAACAAATAAACTGTATTTTTTCTACATGTGTGTCAGAATAATTCAATCACATTAAATGGACATTCTTGATCAACAGACTTAATATCTTGTTTTTGTTAAGCACTGTTGCAAGTCCAGTATAACATCACATATGAAAGTTTTTGGGTAATATCTATCGGTTCTCGAGACAATATTCAGTTTTTCAGATTTCTGGGAAAATCGTGGTACTGGTCAAGACCGTAATTTTTTTGGCCTAACCTAGCCCAATTGTAAGAGTCTATACCTTTAAACAAAGCGGTCTCCAATACATGTACTTATATTTTTATAAAGAAGTAATGTTTTGAACTTTTTAACATGTGATGATCCGATCATTTATTTTTCTTTCAGGAAATTAAATCTCTAAAATGACTCAAGTTCATGTGAGTAAAGAGATTTTGGGTCGGTATATGGATTTGGAGGAGAGGGGAAGAGTCATGTGCGAATATCTATGGATAGATGGCACTGGTGAAGGAATTAGAAGTAAATGTCGTACCATGGAATTTGAACCGAAGGAACCCAAAGGTAAAAATTATGACTGTCAATATTGGGCATAAAACTATTCCTGGTTTTAACCACCCGATCAATACCGTCTTATCTGGTAAATACTGGTTGATAAAGTTAAAATGATAATTACTGCAAGAAATCAATTGTTTGTAATGATGGTCAATTTACGGCCCAGCTCTGATCATATTATTTTGCTGGGAGCTTTGGTTTGGTAGAGCATTAAGTCCTGCTTCCTTTGGCAATACGATTAATAGTCAATAAACACTAAGTTGGGTGTTCATATATTCATTATTCACAAAATACATGTAGATGCCATAGTATTGTAGTGTCTAGATGGTCTCTATCCAATAGTCCAAAAAATAAATAATCTGATATAAATAAAGATCCTGTGTCAATGCATTGCTTACAAGGATCTTACAAAGTTCTGTTCTACATTTTTTGACCTCATCCTTGTAGAATTTCTATGGACCAGTAAATAACCAGTTTTTTTTATACCCGGACCCTTTTAGAATTTCAGTGGACCAGTTTTAACCAGTTCTTTTCTTATGACCAAACCCTTTCAGAATTTCAAGTGAATCTGTATCAAGAGTATTAATTAGTTTTTTCATGTATTGCAAACTTTGCCAACTGGCAATACTGCCTTTTGAAAAATGTTTTATAGATTCATCTGAAAAACTTAAAGGTACTTGTAGTAGTGGCAGATTCAGAAGGGGATACATGTTGATGGACATACCACACATGTAATCTGTCACTGTTGAATTGCATCTTTTTTCCCTTAAAACGACTAAACGTGTTCAAATACATCCATAAGACACCATCCCTAAAGTCCTATATTTGAATGAATTATTACAACCCAATCATGTATGCTATAATTGTACAGAATTTATATATATATATATGCTTCCCAAACTATAAGAATATAATTGTTTTATTTAGAATGTCCCATGTGGAACTATGATGGTTCAAGTACTTACCAAGCTGAAGGCTCAAATTCAGACATGTACCTAAACCCTGTGGCAATTTTCAAAGATCCTTTTAGAAGGGGACCACACAAATTAGTTTTGTGCGATGTACTCAAGTATAACAAAAAACCTGCAGGTAAGAACTATTAGTTTTATGACAACACCTGAGAAATCTTTATAAAATTTTGAAATAGTCCCTATTAGTTTGTATTGGCAGGGATACAGTTTATTTGTCCTTTGTTTGAAACAGTTGTTTACTTTGTAAAAAAAAAAAAAACGAAAATAGTCTGTAATTGGAAAATGGACTGTTATGTGTTGTGTATCTTTGGTACAGTTTTAACTTCAGACATCTCAAAGTTGAGTTTATATCAAGAAAGTTGAGATATTAAGATTATTAGATTTTGTTTTAAATATAGTTGCATGTCTAAAAAATATTGCTCTATAATTCCTGACTATGTAATCTTGTTTTCATTTGTAAGTAGCTTTCAGGATTAAATGAACATTAAAATGAAGTGTGTTCTGACAGTTTCAATAGATTTGGCTAGTCCATTCATTTTCTTTTTTTCTTCAAAATCACACCTTAAAATGTGTTGAATTCAACTGGCATCATTGTTGGGATTATTTATAATCAAACAAATATGACAATTGTGAAATTTAAACTCACAAATGCACATTTTGTGAAACTTTTGTTACATTCCAAGAAAAGATTAAAAAAAGATCTTATTGTTCACTTAAAGGAATATAGCATGACACATATTAATATTTTCGTAAATGGAACAGTTAAGAGGGTGTGGATGGGGGTTTACAGAATAGAGAATAATGGGCAAAAAATATAAAGAATAGAGAATAATAAGGTGCTAAAATGTGAAGAATAAGGAATAACGGGCAAAAATTATACAGAATAGAGAAAAATGGCAAAAAAAATTAAAGAATACAGAAATGAAGGACCCCATCCAGACCCTCAGTTAAAGATATAAAATTACCTATATATGTAATTAATATGTGTTTTTAGAAAGTAACAAAAGAAATACCTGTGCTATGGTTATGGAACAAGCCAAAGATACGCATCCATGGTTTGGTATTGAGCAAGAATATACATTATTAGATGTTGACGGACATCCATATGGCTGGCCTAAAAATGGATTTCCTGGTCCACAAGGTACGACAAAATTATAATTACGATTATGTTTAGTGTAACTTAGTTTGCAATTTAGCAGCAACAAAAGAGTCTCGTTCAAGGCTTGTGTGCATTTGCACATGACTACAGTCATTTAAGTTCTGCACGAAATTGTTTAAGTACTGTTCAAAACAAGAACAATATGCAAGGCCACCCTTAAAAAGTTTTTTGTTTGATGTTGCTTAACTATGCCTTGAAGGGTTGGGTAGGTAGATACAGATTTTATTTTTTTAGCCAACAACATAAGTTACATATTTTAGACAAGAAAACAATGTTAGAGCAGGAAAACATCTTAAAAAAAAACTTGAAATGATTTGTGTCAAAATTTTTCAGATGGGTGGGTAGGCAACATCAAACAATTTAAATTTTATTTTTGGCCTTAAATAATTTACCAATCTTCATTGTACTTGTGTCCACTGTAATATTATCTAACTCAGTAAACCACTCAGTAAACCTCTTTCCTTTATTAACATGCTTATGACCATATGAAATTAATATTTGAACTTTAATGTGCATTGTTTCATCTCTTTAGGTCCTTACTACTGTGGTGTTGGTGCCAATAAAGTGTATGGTCGTGACGTTGTTGAGGCACATTACAGAGCCTGTCTTTATGCTGGCGTAAAGATAGCAGGATGTAATGCTGAAGTCATGCCGGCCCAGTGGGAGTTCCAGGTCGGACCATGTGAGGGCATTGATATGGGAGACCATTTGTGGGTAGCAAGATATTTGTTGCACCGTGTGGCTGAAGAATTTGGTGTTGTTGTCACTTTAGACCCAAAACCAATTGAAGGAGACTGGAATGGTGCTGGTGCTCATTGTAATTACAGTACTCAAGCAATGAGAGATCCTGATGGAATTAAGTACGTGTCATTTATATGTGTCCACACTTATTTTATGATCAAAACTTGAAGTAATTTCATGCCATAAGAGAATTTTTGTGATCTCTTCCATAGTGATTTAAAGTTGGAAATTAAAAATTCATTTCAGGGAGTAAATATTAATGTGTCTCTGTAAGAGATTCTTATTTTGAATCTCCTTTTTAAACCGAATAAACAAACTTGATTACCATTTCCTTTAAAATTTTAGTGTTAAAAAGATTAATATATGCATGTACATCAAATTGATTTGGAAGAACTATAATTAACAATATGAAAGATGCTACATTTTATTTAGAAAATTGCCTCCAAAAGAAATTGATATAATGAAAATATTTAATCATTTCTAGAATTTTCATTATTTTTTACTTGTAGGACCATTGAGGATGCAATTGAACGTCTTTCTAAACATCATGTACGTCACATTAAAGCTTATGACCCTAAAGAAGGCAAAGATAATGAACGCCGTCTGACAGGTTTCCACGAAACCTCGAGTATACATGACTTTTCTGCTGGTGTAGCAAATCGGGGTGCAAGTATAAGAATTCCACGTCAAGTAGCGGAGGAAGGATGTGGATATTTGGAAGATAGACGTCCATCATCAAATTGTGATCCATATGCCGTTACAGAAGTTATTGTTCGGACTACTGTTTTAGATGACTAGATTATAAAATTGAACATTACACATTTGGGGTACATCACTTTATAAAATTCATGTGTTCATTAAATCGTTACATTATTTGAGTTACAGACATTTAGTTGTATATTTAAAATCGTCCACTGTACCTGAACATATTTTCTATATGATTGTATATTTTGATAGAGTGGGATTATAGAATGTCGAAAGTTACCAATAGTGAAATATACAAACATGTACCTATTCAAATTATCCACTACTAATCATTAGTTAAAATGAAATCAGTCTTCAACTTCTTGGAATATTAACTGATGGATATAGAGAATGGAATATGTGCAGTATTGATTTTGATGTAGAGAGAATACACCTTTTTCGAAATTATTGTTCAGCCATTCTTTTATATATATGTGCGTAATGTTCAATAATTTATGAATTAATGATTTTTGGTACAGGATGTTGCCAGTAAGATCTAGATACATGAAGAATCATTACTCTCCTTGTGCATTCTAGATAGAATCATTACTGTAGAATCATTACTCTCCTTGTACATTCTAGATAGAATCATTACTCTCCTAATGTACAGATAAATAAATAAGTTTTCATAACCACAGTAAACAGATCAATATCCAGAAAAGTTCATCTTGTAAAACTTGGTTCATTGTTCCTTTCACAAATTTGATCTTATATTTCTATTTGACCTTCAAAAATCATTATATGGGACACTTAACAGTTCATGTGGACTTTGTCCAACCTTTATGTGGATTTTATCATGGTTTATATCTGCTCAATATAAAATTAACTTAACAAGTATTGTATGTGGAAGTTGTATGGTGATAGAAAAGAAATTACATGATCACTAAAGGTGGACACAGGGTACTTTATTCAAATTTTGACCAATCCATGTCTGTACCATTGATGGGTGTGAATGACAAAACCATGCTGTCCAGTATTTTTCCTTTACAATTGAGTAATCGACCTACTTTTAGGTGACCTTGTTTATCTATTAAATTTGATGGATGTATTGTTTCTCTTTGCCTAAGGGAAGACCTGTATTAAAAATGTGAAGGATTTATGATTGACAATAATATATTGAAGACAGTTCAAGAAGTAGGACACTCGAATTGTATTTGTAAATAACAGAAATCCTTGTATGTGTACCTGCCACTAAACTGTGTAGCAAAACATTGTAATATTTAAATGTTGATAAATAGTATTTTTATTACTGTATTACAGCAGAAGATTGTGATAAATTGAATCTCTATGAAAATGTTAATAAAATATTTTAAAACAAAGAAGTTCTTCTTAAATAGCCACAATATGGACTCTTGTAATATCGTAATTTTCCCCATGTGTGCAGAAAATATATTTTGACTGCTCAAGGATTTGCATTGCTGCACCATTTGTAACTGGAGGTTAGATATATCATAAGCAGCCATCTTTGACAATGGATGTACACACTTATATAGTACCATCATTCTGTCTGATTTTATACTCCTAAGCAGAGGTGTGCCTCACAGGCACTTGTCTTTAATAGATATAATTGTTTTTAGACCAGACTAGTGCATGTGGTGCCTATATTGGTAGAATTTAGAAGATTACAGATTATTGATTGTACTGAAATGGTTTCTTGAGGTTATATATGTCAATGAGACAGCAACCCAAAGAAGATAAAAAGATCTGCTTTCATGCAAGATTGCTGGTCAATTTGATGTTAATTTGCAAAAGGTTCCTAGAGATGCTGCTGCTTACCATCATATACATTGTCTATAATCTTTAAAAATTATACATTATGTTACTTACCAATCATGGGCCCTTGTCAGGCAAGATACATAAACATCATAATACAATGATTACATTATAAAACATGCGGCAAGTTTTTAGTGAAAATACACAATACACAAACAAATATATGAGCAATGTAGGATATATTATTACAGTATGAAGCATTTAGTGTAATGAGGTCGGTTTTGTATAAAAAAATTTAGATATAAAATTTAATATTATTAACAGGAAATAATAGAACCAGAAATATAGTTTCTCATATATTTGGAACGAGTCTTCTTCATAGAAGCAGCCGACATGAATTGGGCTTCTCGACAGTTATGTTATCTGTATGATTCATCATTTGATAAAGCTGCTTCTCTCCCTTTACAACATTGTAGGAAAAGACTTGTCAGATTGAAGTCGGAATATTCGAGTAGGACGATATATCTTAATGTAAACAGCTGTTTGTAAGAGTCCATTTTTTCATAATTGGCTTACGGCACAGATCATTCCTAGCATCAAGCTGTACTCCTTTCGCAGCAAAAAGCATTCAAGGCTTATTGACATTTGCCTTGAACCCTAGCTGACCCTCTCTATAGTCTAATACAGAGGATACTTCACAGTCCATCCAATGAGCGAGGGTCACAGCTTTAATCCTTCATTTGTATAACAGTAACCTTTATTCGGTAGTAGTCTCATTCTGTACATAGAAATTATGATCGGTCCTAAACTTAACATCGAAATTACCTATTATCGCTATTTTACGAATTTTTCCTTTGATCTTGCTGACTGATAATTTCCGTTCTCAGCGGAGTCGAGTGAAATGAAAATTATCGCTAGAAACTAAGGGAACACGTGCCGTTGTCAAGGAAATTAACAACGTCTTCATAGGTAAAATAGCGATAAACAGATTATCATTGGTCATCTCAACTCGATTGCTTTTCTCACTTTCGCCGTACCGGCTCAAGCGAGAAAATAAATGTCGTTGAGATAACCAACGATAATCTATAAATATCAAATATTTTCTTCGATTTAAATCCCATGGGTTTTTGATAGGTTATCTTCTTCCATATAGTCACAGTTTTTGCACTGGTCTTGACCTATGATAAATATTGTATAAATATAGTTATCAAACTGATAAATGTTTGGTTGCCACTTTCTAAAGTGCATTTGACAATATCACTACCCAGTTAGCCTACTTTGTCGCAAATCTCTCCACAGATTCCAAAAACTTTTTGCTCTATATGTAGGAAATCCAGAAATGATAAATGTTGATTTATTTATATACGTAAGTCCAAGGCATAACAAAATGTGAAACAATTCAAAAAGAAAACCAACGGATTAAACTTATAAACGAAAAACAATTATGCTGGGCAACAACCATTGATAACCAATATACAACATGCTCCTGACTTAGGACATACACTTACAGAATGTGGCGGGATTAAACATGTTCGTTAGCGCTCAACCCTCCATCTAACCTGGGGCAGTGCTTCAACTATATAATATTAGAACAGCTAGAAAAAATATGCTGAAAAGGGATACTAAGCACAAAACACAACTTTCAAAATGACAAACGACACATATACCGATTAATGAGTACTCGCAGCTATACTGAAAGATAATTCAAAGCCCAATTTTAACTTAAAAAATAGACCATGTTTTTCTAGACTAAAAATTAACCAAGTGCACCTCTACATGATTTAGTATAAGGACGCCATACGCAATCTGAGTAAAAGTGACACCAAAATGTTAGTTTCGATTTGATATCATGAGTACCTTCATATTAATAACTTGCTATCAATCGGCTTTGTGTATGTGTATCTATGTATAAAAGTCAAATGATACTGCAAATAACATTAACTACGAGACCTATCGTTAGAACTTCGACCACCGCACAGCGTAAGTGAGAGGGGAAAGACGTGACGAAAGAATTAAACAAACGTGCACTGGAAGGTTAATAGTAATAATTGATTCTTAAAGAACAAACTTGATACACCAAATAATTTAACAACTGGTATGGAAAAGTTAAATTAATAAATGGGAACGTATGAAAAAAATACTATCGCTATATTAATTCACTTTTTTTTTCACGTGCTCCATGATTTTGGGATGACTGTTTATTCAATGTCACGATCCGGTAAACTTCAACAACAAACTCGAAAGTTAATTAGCTTGCGATCAACAATCACTGAATGAAATATTATTTGTCGATAATACGGTTACAGTATTTTAATACGTTATAGATTCGTAATAAATGTAAAAAAACGTGCATAGCGGACTTAGTTGAGTATATATATATATACAAGTCTAAATTGAAATATATATATGCATGGATTGGTTCAATAATTTCCTCAACATTATAGTTAAAAGAAATTCGTTTCATATGACGTAAACTATATTGCAAATAACATCAATTCCAGTACCGTTAAAGACAATTTTTAAAAAAATGTTACAACATTGTTAAATTTATAACCTTAACAATAAGTTTACGGACCAATAAGTAGACACGGATCGTTTTTTTTTTTGTGAAATATAAATGTGACATCTCGTTTGTAACAAGTTTCTTACAGGAATAGCAAAATTCCCATGTCAATTCATTGGTATATCTTTATTTTAGTAACGGTTTTACGTAATTTGTGTTAACTAAATCCCTAACTTATGTCATTGATTTATTGACAGGTGTTTAACGCCACTTTCGACAATATTGTGCTATTTCGTGACTCAGTTTTTATTGGTGGAGGAAGCTGGAGAGTACCACCGACCTTAGGTAGGAAAACTGACAATCCTAGTCAATTAAGATTTGAGTCGAGTGCACCTGCCACGTGCGGGATTCGAACTCACAACCTCCGTGTTGACAAGCTAGTGATGCAGTAGTTCGACTTCTGAGACCACTCGGCCACCGAGAGCCCCATAACTTAAAAATTTACCAGTTTATTATAGACTGCGTTCATTGTAATGCAAGGCGCCAATACAGACACGTGCCATAGCGAACGAGTTGGAAAATATACATACCGTAGTAACGTCTCATTCTTAAAAGGAAAATTAACCATAGGAAACGAAAAAGCCATGTTCCTTTTTAAAACGGTCAACTGAACTGAGGGCAAATGACTCTTAATTAACTTATTGTTGTAAACACTGTTGTATATATATAGGTTAGATAATACTTGGTCATGTTTTATGATCTTTTATGAATGTGTGAAGCCCGAGTCGTAGCTGTGAGTTTTAAAGGTTCATAAAACATGACCAAATGTTAAGGTAATTTGTTTTTTAGGTCACAAGTTACAACAATATAGCTTGAATAAAATAATGCCATGTAAACTCAACGATTACAAATCCTCAATTATATGGCAAGTGCTTTTCATATTCATGATTTTTTCCCGCAAGCCCGTGCAAAAAAAGTTCGGTTTTTATCTTATAGAATATCAAACATTTTTGCTCTGAGGTAAGCATTTTTGTTTATTGTAAAGAGGTTGCGTCTCAAACACGGTATGGTCTTTCTGCTATATAGATATATTCTTTTTGGTTAACGTCGTCGTTAATGCTCGTCCTGACTATGTAAATTTCAACAAAATCCTAGAATTTTTTTCGTGTAAGTTACATGTTGGTAGATAGTGGATGCATGCTAAACTTATTTTAGGCCATTGATCTTTATCTTGCTCACCTATGTCCTTGTATTACTTTAAATGTATAAATATGTAATGATCACGGATAACGAAGGTGCAATACAAGAATATAGACCGAACTTACACATTACTTTAAAATGAACTGTCAATTTAACGATTATCATGGTTTTCATTTTAAATTCATAGTTTGATTCCAAATTTATCTAGAAAATAAAATGTAAGAAGGGAAGTTATATATAAAGTGTCACAAAAAGTACCGCGTCTCTCTTTCAGCTGATAGACGATGGAGGCAATTTTCATAACCGCAGTACTAAATATAGTTAAAAGTCAATGACCAACGTTATCAGTATGCATAACCAGTATTGCGTCATAATTAAATACCAACTGTATCTAAATATAAGTCATCTTAACGGTCAAGGTACAGTAAATGGGCTAACAACAAAATTATTTTCATTTACCTGTGTTTAAAGTTATTGCAAATGGATGGTATTTTTGTTCGAGCATATTGTTTTTCTTTAATTGTTTAACATTTCTTACCGATATAACATGTTACTTTTATTATTCTTCCCTTAGTTTATTTAATTTGTATTTACATTGTGTCATAGGTCAAATTTATTTGTTCAGTGTATGTTCAATGGTGTTAATATGTCCTTTGATTGAGTTAAGCTATTTCAGTTGATATTTTATAGTGTGTCTTTCTATGTTGTGATGTTACACTATTGTTTCAGAAAAAGGGTGAAGGTTTGGTACCATTAAAACGTTTAAACCCGCTGCATTTGTTTGCACCTGTCCTAAGTCAGGAATCTGATGTTCAGTAGTTGTCGTTTGTTGATGTGGTTCATAAGTGTTTCTCGTTTCTCGTTTTTTATATAGATTAGACCGTTGGTTTTCCCGTTTGAATAGTT